TTCAGAAAGGCTCGTTTAACCTGCTGAAATACTCCCTTTTACGTCAACAACCCTCATCAGACTATTTAGTCCCTCTTACTCCATACACAATTTCTCTGTAGTTACTCTTATCAACGCGTACAAATCACATATGCTACGGCTAACCGAAACGCAGTATATAAATACAGCAGTTACTCGTCTACCTCGACGGCTCTGTTAAACTTAAGCCGCGTCGTCATGCAGATATTACGTGTTCCCTTCCTTTATATATTACTACTATGAGTTAATACTTGCAGCTAGATTTTGTAATAATAAGACCGATGATCAACATTACGTATTATTTATAAATGTTGAATATTTGGAACTTTAAAAAATGGTTTTTAGTTGAATATATCCTAAATAAAGGGAGCGATTCTTATTCGTATAAATCCTAAAACATGTATGGTAATATATCGTGTACATATGTATCCACGTGCTATTGTAAATTTCGATATAAATTTGAAAAAATTAAAGAGATTTTTGTTTATTTTACATTAAAGCTTCATATAACAAATATCTCATGAGTTGTATATCCTTCATATAATTAGTATTTTCCGGTCCTTCTTTCCAGAACTTTTTTAGTTTAAAATATATGGTATTATTTCTATAAATTTAAATATTCTATTCTTATTGATTTTTTTTGTTACACTTGCATGATATGCAATAACTTTTTCTATACAGTATATTAACGCATTCGATGCGATGAGAAGTAATACAACAGTCAATTTCTGTTACATTCTATATATATTTAATTTGGAGGAAAACATTTTATCGGATAAAACACTTTTAGATTATTATTATAAATTTCAGTTGTTCAAAAAAATGTTTATTTAATAATATAAATAATAATTAAACAATTATAACAATTAAAAAAATATTAAACATTAAGTAGTAGAATACTTTGTGATATAATTTTTTCTTCCTTTTTTTCTTATAAATCTTATTAAGATTATAAAATTTGAAAATACTAAATGTGAAAAAAAGAAGATGATACTTAATCATTGTTCATACGCGTGCATTGCTTCACGACCATAGATATTAACCTTTGTTCTACTTTTTTATCCAAAAGTTACTTCAGATTTATCTGACATTCGCATCTTAACAGCTTCTTTATTGAATTAAAACAAATATGATTTGTGAGTTATCTTACAGGTCTACTGATAGTCAAATCTACTTGATTATCTTTTACTGATGTATATTATCTTTTACGGAAATTACGAGATCATTAATCGACGAGTATAAAATAAACGAAAGAGAAACAAACCCGTTGCAGTTGACCATGTGCAATCATTCAAACATGTTGTTGGTCATTCCATTTCTTGCGTGTTATATCGTTTGGGCAATTGCAAACCCAATTAACATTGGTAAACCATCCGTTTATTTTACAATTTTATCATCAAACTGCTCACGAAAACTGTTTTATCGTCACATTAACGATCTTTAGGTATCAGCTGCACAATATCTGTACAGTATAAAATTGGCGATCTTAAGGAGCCTCAACCGTTGCTCCTGAAGCGGGTTGGTAAGCATGCGACCATCTGGTACCCGGATAACGATAATGGGACATTGAAGATATCCGCGGGTGACTCCATTTATCTAGCATGCCCAGGCAAAAATAATAACTTCAAAAACAGAAGTTGGGGCAACGAGGTCGAAGCAGTTTGCGTAAGAGATAAGGTGTTTGACGTGAAAGGCGTTCACCAGTATATCTCGTCTCTAGTTTGCAAATCTCATCCCGAGCACCATGCTGAATATACGGGCACGTCGCCTTGCCTTGGCAGACACAGCCCCATTGAGATTGGTTTCAACGTGAGCGGCACCTTCATCCGTACTATTGAATTATGCCGCGACGAGAAGACATATATGACGTACTACACGAAGTTCAAGATGACAAAAATGATCGAAAGTTATCAAAGAAGCTATCCCAGGTGAGGTCTCGCAATAATTGATCGACTCTTTATTCAGTATGTTTTTCTTTTATTAAATCTTCGAAAAAAAGTTTAAATTTCAAAAAAAGTTCTAACAAATTAAATATAGTTTAATTTCATGTTAACAACACAGAAAATTTGTGTTAAATTTGAAAAAGTAACATAATTATATTACCTATAATATATAAAAAAAATTAACATAATAAACATAACATTGACACAATTTGTAAACAAATTGTAAAAGCATATTTTTCAATAAAATTAACCTTTAGTTATGTTAACTTTTATTCATCCATTTTAGAAAGAGAGAGAGAGAGAGAGAGAGAGAGAGAATTTACACATTTATAAATTTTAAAACGCATGAATGATTATATTTCTATACATATACTTTTTAAATACAATTTTTAAAAATATTTTGTGATTGCATGTTTCAGACCGTCCAAGTTCCTAGCGGGCAAATTTTATCCCGGGATAAATGTAGACTATCTGTACAAATTCGAAACTCAATCAGATACCCTCGCCAGAATCCTGAAGTCGACCAAATTGACTGAGGAACGATTGAAGAAATCACTGCAATTTCTCTCTCGCGGACATCTGGTAGCCAAAGCGGATTTCGTCTACGGCATCCAGCAAAGGTCAACTTTTTGGTACTTGAATACCGCGCCTCAGTGGCGGACTTTTAACGCTGGTAATTGGAATTCTCTGGAGGTCAGCGTCAGACGCTTCGCCGCCAACCGCCGTTTGGACCTCGACGTTTACACGGGAGTACATGGTCAGATGACCATGGAAGACATTCATAACAAACAGCAACCCGTATATCTCCACGCCGAAGGCGCAGTCATGTCCGTACCCAAGTTCTATTGGAAAGTCATCTATGATCCATTGAGCAAACGTGGTACGGCGTTTGTGGGTCTCAACGATCCGTTCATCACATTAGTCACAGACGACGTATATCTCTGCTCAGATATCAGTGAAAGGATCAAGTGGCTGGACTGGAGACCGCGCAATATCACGTTAGGCATCTCTTACGCCTGCAGCGTCGCTGATCTACGAAAGGCGGTGCCCGTCGTGCCGCTACTCGATATCATTGATATTCTAATGTGACACGAGTGAATCACTTAGTTCCGTCTTCTATGTATAGGACATCAGTATTTCAAGAGGATATCAATAACCGCAATAAATTGTTTTTTTAAGTCTTTGCACAAAAAACAAAGATTTATGATTGAGATCAGGTGCATGAAAACTAACGCTGAATGTTTTACGCGTAAATAATTTTGTAAATTCAACTTCCACAATAATAATATATAGACGTTTCTAAATTTATGTATATATATATATATGTATATACTGAGAGAAATATTTGATGCGTAACCATTTATATATTACTGATATGTGATTAACACAAAGTTTCTTACTTTTTCATTAAAAAATGTATTGTTTTAATCAAAATTTGGTTAGAACAACACAATTTTTTAATGAATATATCAACAAAATAAAGTTGTACGTACCGAAATATTTCTCTCTTTCTCTCTCTCTCTCTCACACATACAAACAGTATATATTTAGAATTAATTAAATATAAATCCGTTAAAAATAATATTTAAAAAATCAGAAGCTTGTATCACACAATAGAAACAAACACATTGCAATATTGTATTATTTATAAAGTATTGAATAATATTTAATACAAAAGTTTAACCACACATCTTTATAAGTCAAAGTGTAACGATACTTCACTGAACATACTAAGCAGATACTTTATCTTCGATACGAGCGAGGTGTCGATAACAGGAAGGCAACATTCATTCGTAACAGTGAATGCAGATGTTAGCAACTTATTGAATATTTTCGAAAATGCACTTATATTTATATAACATTAATTGTATATTTATTCAATATTCGTTTATTTGCATTTTTTATGATTGCCAAACAGCAATGTTTATTAAAAAAGAATTGAATAATATTGATATATTGTGTGTGTATACACTCAATATTAAATAGAAAAGATATCAATATCCAATATATTAATTTAGTCTTTAATAGAAAATCTGACGAAATCAGTGCGAAATAATCATACTGAATCATACTGAATCATAATGATCCATATCAGTTAACCAAATATTAAAATATGTATATTAAAATAATGTTTTAAAAATTATACAAATGAGTTATTACGATGTGATGTATATATATATAGACAAGAGTCAGTCACGCGGAAATTTTTATCAAAATAAATTTCTCTAAAGACATTATTATTATGCTTTAAAGCAAGAACTTCATATGTTGACATATCACGTGCTATGCGTAAATTCAAGACAAGCTAGCTTTATCTCCAAGACATAAAATAGAATTTATTTCAAAAGGTTAAAAATTTGAAGTGATTATCTATGACATAATTTTACAGACTTGTTTTTCGCAGAGAAAATATTACTTGCAAATAGGAACGTGAATAGTATGTACATTTGAATAAGAGAAAAACGTTCCTTTCCTCGTGGATTTTTCCTTCAAATCAAAATTATATTAGAATATTGTTATTAGAGAAAATATTAAATATAATAATTAAATATAATGTTTATAAAAAATATTTATAGATTATTTATATCTATTTTAATATTATTATTTCTATTTTAGTATTATTTGTATTATTATATAGAATGTACTGTTTAAAATAAAAAAAATTTTATTTTGAGAGAGAGAGATAAATCGGATGACGCACACACTCATGTATAACTTCTATTATACATTGAAATAGAATACAATGTTTCAGCACTAAACAAAGGTAAACACTTTTAAATATCAAAGTAAAAACCGAATATAAAAGTAAAATACCAAATGTGCAATAAATAAATTTAAAAAAAACAAACTTTTATTTATTTTCTATAAAAGCATATTTTATAATATTTGTTAATGTATTTTTTTTAAATATGTGATGCAAAAATACCATTTCTTTTTTCGAACTTCAAAAATTAGATTCGCATAATTAAGTTCAAGGACAAATATCACACGGCAAGAATTTATTCTACCTTTCAAAGAACGCAAACATACATAGGGCCTTCCGGGAGTTTACGAGACAAATAAAAAGTAGGGCGTGAATCGTAAAAGCAGAGCACGCCGCCTCGTATATCTCGCCTTGTACATGTCCGCATCGAGATTTAAAACCGTCGAAGCATTCTGGGGATTTCTCGGTGCTTTCGCTCTCCAGCGAAGCGATGGAACACCGCGGTAAAAGTGTCGAGGGCTTCTGTTCGATAAGTCCGTTTCCATTTCCACAACAGCTCTCGATACAACTTGATCCTTATTTATTAACTAATGGTATCCATAAAGAAACAAACATTAATAATAATTGTATCTTCGTATTTTTAGCTGTTTGTACACGTTTTTAATTAGCTTTTGAATATTTTTTTCTGTTTTACTAAGAGTAATGCATTATTCTAATGATATAATTTAGAAACTCAAAAGCAAAGTTGCTTGCAGCAACTGCAGTATATACAAAGGATAATTAAATGTTGTGTACTTATGTATAGTCCTTTATGGACATTTCGCGTTCCACGAAAAAGTTAAAACATACTAATACATATTTAGCTGTGTGGAAATTAAATTATAAAGAGTTGCAAAGTTGAGAACTATTAAAGGAAATTCGATGGCTACGAAATAAAATATATACGTATAAAAGACGCATTATCGTTCCGGTGTGTTACTTCGTAATATCTTAGAGAACCAAATTTTTGTAGTAGTCGATTGAAAGGAACGACTTTTAAAGAACCATTTGTGCCAACTATAGCTTACAGCATTTAAGTTCAATTGACGTAGAAAAGAGCGTCGGCTGTACGAATTCAATTAACTGTAACGAACGAAGAATGCGCCATCTCGATAACCTCATGCTGAATTTAATTGACGAGATCCACATGTAGGCATATGTATGTAGGATGATCTCTTCAAACTGTCCCTATTGAAATGTTTCTGCACCAATTGTTACGCGACAAAGCGTTTCTACTTAATTACACAGTTGAAAATAGCAAGAAATTAATGTTATATGCAGTTGATTAATTCTCAACTTGTTTACCAACAAAAACAAATCGTTATCGTTCATTTGATTAATATTTATGAGCCTTAATAATTTCCCAACTTAATAATTGCATAATTTATTCATTTTCCAAAAAATAAATATTTTCCTGATTGATATTAAAAGATTAGTTATGTATTATATGTTTTCCACTGATCGATCAATTTGTATAATAAATATAGTTTAATTAGCGAGTTTGGCATCTTCAATGGGCATAATGGAGACAGAATATGTGATGCTAATTTATCAGGATTTCGAGTTTAAATGAATTAACATCGTGTGTGTGACAGCGCGTATAATTGAATATATCTTCATAAATAGCTTTCAGCAAAAATATTGCTAATAATGCGTGCCGAATAACGCATTATTTCTCGGTTTACGAGAAAATCTATTATTAGCACATACAAGGACGGAACTTAAAATAGATAGATAACGCATTAGATAAAAATTTGACATGTAACGTTATGTCGATAAAAGCACTAAAAAGTATGGCAAAGATATTTTAATTCTACAAAAATTTACGTTTAACCGACGATTTCTCTAATCTTTCTCTTTTTAATTATATTATATCGCGGCATATATAAATGTTCCTCTTTTGAAAGAGGATGATGTGATATTTCACGTTATCCTCTCTCAAATATTGAATAATTTATAAAAGTCTATTAATACTAATTGACTTTTATAAAATTATTTAAATATCAAATAATTTATAAAAGTCAATTAGTAGTAAATTACGCAATTTCAAGGAGTATATTGAGTCTGAGCTACGCGTAAACGTAGTTGTAAGAATTCTTTAATCACAGTTGAACATTCTCCTCGTATTCAACTGTAATTGGTTAAAACTAGATAGAATTGTAGATCGGGCGCTTACTTCAATTAATATCTAAAATCTCGTGCTGATATTGAAGAATCATGAAATAATGACATAAAAAAAGAAAGAAATGTCACACATAAACAAAAGTAAATAGAAAAGAGTGATAAACGCCACACATAAAAAATAAACGAACAAAGATAATAAATTGCGTACTATTTATAGCAGCATTATAATTGTAAGCTATAAATAGTTTAGACGGGCAGAGAATAAATAAATCTGAGTCATAAGTCGATGATCGTCGAATAACCTACGCCTTTGTGACAGATATTTTAATCGCAGCTGATGGCGTATAGTATTTTGACATGAAGGTTAGCCAATTGAATGATAAATCAAGTATTGGCTTCCGATACAAACGAAATTGCGTTTCTGTTACAGCAATCTCTGCTTTTCAACCTATAGTCTTCCAGCAGATTAAATAAACCGTTTCGGCGAAATCGATAGTTGCTAGCATAGCAGTATGAGAACTAAGCATTAGAAACTTGAATTAAACCTTCATGTAAATTTCCATTAATACATCCAGAAATACGTCATCATGAATTAATTTTTGTTATTGTATTTTTATTAAAAATTTTAATATTTGTTTGATATAAATATTAGTTAAAATAGTAAATAATGTATTTATGTTATAATTAATTGATCATTCATTGTTAGAAAATTTTCGTCAATATATAAAAATTCCTTTTGCAAAATTATGACTTTCTTATATTTTTTTATTCAATCCGGATCAATGTATAATAAAAAAAATCAAATTTTTCGAGATGTTTAAGTTTCAAATACCTTTTATTTTTCCATCATCCATTTTTCTTGTTCACACACTTTTTTAAAAAGGCATGTTTTAACACTTCTGTATTTTTCCGGAGTCAGATATAATCTTGCTTTTTGAGCTAATTGGAAAAGTCAACCTTGAACACATAAAAGTCCAGATAATGATTTATCGACAGATAGACTTGACAGACAAATCGGTTGTTGTCAATATGCCGAGTAAACCATTTATTTTGAAACTGATATAACGAGAACTGTCAAGACTTTATTGAAACAAGCATCTATTATACCTTATTTAGAAAACATTTGAGTCTAATCTTTTTTAAAAAAAAAAAGCATTTTATTCCTATCTTTTGAAAGTGTAAAAATTTAGAAAACATTTGATTCTCTTATCTCTTTAGAATTTAAAAATTCTTTTCACGAATAACTCAGTCGAAGCTTTAAAACTTGAATATCACGGTAAGGGATAGACGTTTACGAAATTCATTATTATTAACGAGATATCGGTACATCATTCTCGGGTGTATCGATTGACGCGTATAACAAATTACGAGTGGAACGTACCAATTTAATTATATTGCGGCACAGGAATGAGCAGAAAAATGATACAATTCTATTCGTCCCGTAAGCATGCGTGACGGATCGGATTACTGAATTCGACAAAGGTGGAAACGGAAGGAACTTGCACGCACACACACATACACACACACACACACACGACGCCTGACTCGCGTCTTCCTCACTTGATTCGCATCTCCTTCCCCTATTCTATACATCGTTACCCACTCGTTCCGTGTCACACCGACGGGCATCATTTTCCCTGTTCAGCAGGTTTTCACATGCGCGCAGCCGCGGAAAGAACGCATGCACAATACAGACGCACGCGACCAACACGTTCAAAGTAACCTCCGCCCACTGCCGTTCATCCAATCGCATCACGCTTTCTCTCTCGCGCAGTACCTCCTTACACCCTAACTTGCAGATTCTTGCGCTCTCTCTCTCTCTCTCTCTCTCTCCCACATTCTCACCCTTCCTGGTGATTCTCGTTACTCACTTGCCGATAATCTCGCAGAGCTCGTAAACATCGTCGAAGAGAACCTCGTCGTCCGCCATAGTGACGACGAGGAAGAGGAGGAGGTCGAAGGAGTCGACCGAGCTAGGAACCTGCACGCGTCAGGTGACGCGTCGCGGTTACGTGAATGCGTGATAATTCGGAGCGCCTTTTATAAGTACGCGCCTTTTTCTGTCGCTCCGGTCGTAGTTTCCTAACCAACAACGTCGTCGTCGTCGTCGTCGTGATCGACGTTGTCGTCGTCACCGCCGCCACCGTCGTCGTCGTTGTTGTCGTCCTCGTCCTCGTCGTCGTCGACGTCTTCGTCGTCCTCGTCGTCGTCGTTGTTTGTCGTTGTATCCGTGTCGTGTGGAGTACACGCGGCGTGAACGCAGCCACGTATCGAGGATTCACGGCCGCATCGCTCTCTTTCTCTTACACGTTCACTGCCGGCCCCGTCGTCGCTCTCTTTCTCTCTCCCTCTCTCTCTCTTGCCTTTACGCACACGTCACGCACATATGCACGCACACACAGTCGCGGATAATGCACCGTGTGTCAGCACACCACCGACCGCCGTCGCACTGACACTCTGTCGGCGGACACGAGCGAACACTGTACCACTGCAGGGGTGCCCGATCGTGATTCGTACGTGTGGCGCACAGCTCTGCGCGGAGCGAGAAACACACCGCCGACAACACCCGTCTTGTCACTTTTTCGTTTAGCCGCGCTCAACTCGCTACAGTTCGTTCTCGCTCGTCCCGCCTTGCCTTTGCCTCGCCGGCAATGTCAGCGCGCACGGGAAAACAGACGGTAGCAGCGCGATGCGATATTATATACGCCAGGCTCGTAGATAGGCCCCGTCGTGACCTGCCTCAAAAGCACAGTGTGGAGTACCGGATTCGTTCGGTGTGTGTGTGTGTCTCCCCCTTGCCGAAAGAGTCGCGGGCACGCACTCTTTCTACTTGCAAAGTTCGCTACGTACGCACGGGCGGAGGAGACGGGCGACGACGGATAATAACGACACTGCACGCGTTATTCCGTCTATCGAAGGCCGGGGCAGTGAATTCTCGCTCGCTCCGAAGCAAGACTGGTTGCATAAAACGCGGCGGGCGACTGCGCCGACCGCTGCCAGTCCTTCTCCCCCCGACGCCAACCCCCCACCCCACCCCACCCTCTGCGATCAAACCGTGGCATGGTGGGGCGGGCGTGGCGCCTACCTCCCTTTGCTTCGCAACCTTTTGCGCTTTAACACGTTCTTTACTTCCTTCATTGCTCGCTCGCCGAGTGTGCGTAACGCGCTTCCAGAGGACGGTGATACTCTCAGAACCCTCCGCGATTCAGATATTACCGTCCTTTCGAGGGCACAATCGGTATACTCTCCTCTCTTTACCGACTGTTCTCTCTCTACCGACTGTTCTCTCTTTACGAGAGGAATATGTTTTTTGTCATATTTATGAAAAAATTACTCTATGAAAAAAATCGGGAAAGAGCAAAAAATAACAAAAAAAAATGTGTTATAGGTTTTGATTGTGTTGAAATGGCTGCTAGACGTAGTATTTTTGTGTGTAAAAATACATTGTCATTACGTTCAATGTAAGTATCGTTTTTGATACATTGCAACTAGTTCATTGAAAAAATTATAAATAAAAAAATAGCTTTAGTTTATTATTCGAGAACTGTTGAAATATACCGTTTGTTTATATTGCTATCGTAAATATGAAAGTCCATCAAAGATATCCTCGATTTCTTCTTTGCGTCCAAATACCGATAGTACTAGCATTATTCGGTTATGATACCATCGATGATAAATAGCATGAGTACCGAGGGCTGCAAACTTCACTTCATTCTCCAGATATTTTAAATGTTTATGATCGTATCCTTGCAAAACTATCATATTTTCCCTATATAATTAAAAAGATGTACATTATATTATACGCATTAAAAAATCTCACGTCTTAAATTTGAAAAATTCGAAGAAATTTTTAATATTAAATATTTACTAGAACAATAGATTAACAAAAAAATTGAAACTATATATTTATTACCCGGAATTCTGCCATTGAACAATATAAGGATTCTTTGCTCGATCAGTTGCTAATTTGTTATAAAGTCCAAGTATTCCACGTGTTATCTACAAAAATAGAAAATGTATATTACAGATCGATTAATTGCTTATTATTAAACAATTTATTTCAAAATACACTTATACATAATACATTAAAAATCGATATTCAATAAACAATTAAAATTATTATATTTATACTTGGTATTAAAAGGCTAAAATGTTTTAATATAACTATTTTATTTTGATTCTTACTAAACTTGCTGCTACTCCTAATTCCATAGGAATATCAGTATTAAGTATTGAATAGAAAACATATTCATCGAGTGTAGCTCGTTTTCTAATCATTCTATATTTTTTGTTTCTTCTATTATACATAATTTGCCTATTTAATTCCAATCTTTTTTTAAAATCGATTATTTTTATTCTATAAAATTATGATATTAATGCTATTATTTATTTATAGTTGGTTTGAATTTCGTATTAAATACATGCTGTTATACGTGTATATAACTATGATAAAATTACAGTAATTAACATTATGCATATAATTTTAAGAAAAAAATTATATTAACAATGCACATATGTTTATAACTTTGTATTAAATTACCTGATCTGTTCTTTATTCAAAGCACTAATATTGGATTTATTATTGCAACATCTTCTGCCACTCTTGTTTTGATTTTTCATTTTGCAAAATGCGTAAACTTTTTTTCATATGTCTTACAAATAAAAATAATTTGATTATGTATTTCTATTTAACATGATTCATTATATATTAAAATTCTTGTGATACAAATAATATTTTAATTATATTATAGTATATAATCTAATAAATCTTTTTCTTTTATTTATTGTATATATTTTAATGCATCTAAAAATTATTTTAATTTAGATATTTTAAGATATAACCTAATCTCCATCTATTGTAATTCATCTAATAAATTGCTTCATGCATATAATCACAATATCATTTATATATGTATAATTAGTATTTTTTGCCAACACAAAATACATCTTTATCATAATAAGTATACATAATACTACAATTTCTCATTAATACGAACAAATTTTAATTATATCACAACTCTTTATTATCAATAAAACAAAATATAATTTTTTGTACTTTGAGGGGATCGGAGGACAGGATATTCTTCATCAATTGTCAACTTTATTGTCTATTTGCACGATACATTATGTTAAATCGCACAAAAATTTAAAAAAGAGATTTACATCTTTATCTTTTCGGTCTTGTTTATTACTGACATTTTATTAACATTAGATCATGTTGAAATTCCACTATGCATTAGATAATAGGAATTACGATTGCCTTCAGTTGGTACGCAAATGATATCAGAAATTTATTATATCTCTTGCTAACTTTTCGCATAATATCCGAGAAAGGTAATACAACCTTTTTTTTTTTTTTAAGGGAAAGCTTTACAGTAAATAGGAATTTTTTTTATTTCTTTTTTTTTAAATAAAATCATTCTTCGCAATTTTTAAAATGTTTAAATCCGCAGTGTCCTGAGCAAAAAATTTTATTGTTATCAATCAAATGAAGAATATCGATTTCATGCGCATATCGATATATCGCAATACGGTAACATGTCGATTTCGATTAGTACGAATAGTATGAGGTGCACAGTGAGTGATAGCACTGATAGCAAACAGTTTCGGAGTAGGAGCGTAGTGTTTGGTACTTTTAGGTTAGAATAGCTGTTTTCATAATTAAAAGTATTTTGCTCTGATACGACAATGTCGCGCGATCGTCATGAGACATTCAAACATTACACGCTAGCCGATAATCGAACGTAACTTCACCGGATGGAGTTACTCGTCGCACGTACTGAAGGGACTGTCATGAAGTGACGAACTATCGAAGAACATTATTCGTAACCTCTTCATCAAAACGACCCTGATTAAGGTTAAATCATAGGTGGCCTCTTATTTCAACGGTGCACGTGGATCTGCCGAGGAAATGACCTCAAACGAAGCAGGCCTGTCACTCGGTGTCACCCGGGAAGACGTCAACTGGCGGAAAGATTTGATTTTGCAGTTACGCGAGAGAAACAGATCGCAAACCAATTGTTTTGCAGATCTCATTAGCCTACGTAAGTTTCTCGTGGTTTTAATATTAAGTTAAATCGATTGGACGCGAGTATCAATCCACGATACGTCTTATTTTGAATGCAGAAAACTGTCTCTCCATCGCTGTTGGATAGAGAGACAGTTTTACCATATGTTTTATTTGATTTTATTTATAATTCATAGTTTTATTGTCATTTGGTTATGTCTCATTTGTTCGTTTATATTGTTTATTTTTTTATTTAAAAAAAATTGTTCTAACTAGCATAATAATTTATTGGTTCTGCTAGCTGTGTTGGTTCTGTTTGTTTATAGCCTTTTAGTTTTACTGTAAAAATTGATTTAATTACATTTTTGTTATTTTTTGCAGATAATAGATTATTTGAAAATGCAAATACATTACGAAATTCAAATATGCAATTGACAATTGCAAATGAGACTCTTCGTCGCGAAGCAGCTAATGGTGGTATTGGCATAGGAGGAAATCCTGATCTCGAAGCTAGACTCTTAAAACAAGCAGAGGAATTAGCAATGTTGCATAAAAGGAAAGGAGAACACACACAACAAATAGTAGATCTTAATAATAAATTACAGGGAATGACAAAAGAACTTCAAACAAAGGAAGCTAGGTAACCTGTGATCATAACCTTATTCATAAATATATATTTTTTAAACAAAAATAATATTATGGCTCAGCAATAATAAAATTAGTAATGACGATAAGAAAGCAACCAGCCAAAATAATTTAGTTTAATAAAACAATAGACTACATACAAATGTTTTGACACCGATTGGTTCATTATCAATATTAAATAAATATTAAGAAGGCTGGTAAATCTTCTTGAGAGTATAAACGTACAAAACCTTACGTAGTATTCTATTAAGATGTTACGTCACTATTATTATGAGATTCCTAATTGTGTTGATAAACATCAGTATAGAGCCGAGAAGTTATTGAAATCTAATAATATTATAGAATAAGTTAATTAGAATAAAACACATTCAAATACAAATACATTAACAAACATATGGTAATTTATATAAATTAAAAATTATTAATTTACAAAGATAAATATGATTAATACATTAATTATACATTCTTGATTCAGATCGTTATGTGCTTCATTTCTTTTATATTAATTGCTACTGTTGGTTTTATTAATTTGACTATCAGATTTAGACTTCTTGGCTCTATACTAATGTTCATCAATATAACTAAGGATCTCATAATAATAGCGATGTAACATCTTAATAAAAGACTGCGCAAAGTTTTGTACGTTTATATTCTCAAGATTTATCAGCCTTTTAAATTTTTATTTATCATTGATGATCCACCATTGGTGGTGAAACGTTTGTATGTAAATAGTCTAATATTTTGTTAAACTAAACTTGTTTTGGCTGATAGCACTTCTTATTTTCATTAATAATATATTATTTAATAACTTATAAATCAATTTTCATGAACTTATAGGATTTTCTAATTGATTTATATTTTTCAGTCTTGCAGAAAGTTCGGAAGCTAATACTAACTTACGTTTAGACATAACTAAATGCCTTGCTAGAGAGAAAGATTTAGAAGGTGTTAATCAGATGCTCAAGGATGAACACCAAGCCTTGCAACTTGCTTTTGCATCTTTAGAAGAAAAGCTTAGAAAAACACAGGTATGTTATATAACGTTTTTTGTTCTTGTTTCCTTAGAAATTTATATGCTCATATACATTTTTTGTTATACATTAGTAAAGAAAAGTCGATAATTTTTTATATATATTGATATTTACTTATTTACCATCTAATATTTATTTGATGTATTTTTTTTCTAAATTTTTATAGGAAGAAAATCGACAGCTGATCGAGCGTTTAATAAAATATAAAGCCAGAGATGCAGAAAAGATGAATGAAGAAAATGATAACTTTTTAAGGTAAGTGTACATATATATAAAGTATATTATATTGTGAATTTAGAAATTGAATAAAAATCGTTTATATTGAATTTTGATTTGCAATATTAAAATCTAGTATATTACTCTAGTATTTTTGTAGTTAGAATTGTTTTTGTAAAATTAAGAGCAGAGCAGTATTCATCTTCGCTATTATTTTGATTAAATGTGTTTTTATTTCTTGGCTATTTTTGTACGCAATATGAAAACTATGTATTTTGCATGCTAATTATGATTTTGCACTAGGTTATAATCTTGTAATATATAGTAAATGTATTTCTGCTTAATTATACAGCTTTTAAAGGTTATTCTATTTTTCTGCACTTTAGTTAATTTAGTTGTTATGTATTTGTATATATGTTTATGCATTGTAGTATAGTTTTGCATAAAGGGGTGTTTAGTTTATCTGCAACATAATCTTCTGTCTAAAATCTTTATCTTTCTTTGACACTACTTTCCTGTAGAATCTCTATTTTTTTTACTAAGTGGATGTTATTACATTACTTCTGTCAGAGTATAGACAACTTTGTTTAATTTTAAAATATTATTTAATTTATATTTCAATTTGAGATCTAAGCTTCACTATGTGTAAATCTTTTCAAGTTTGTTCTTATATAATTTAGATTAATTAAAACAGCTAAAATGCATCTTATAAAATTTCAATTTCATACATATGAATTATATATTTATTATTTATTATGATATGCATTCTATAATAAATTTTTATTAATATAATTAAAAAAATTAATTCATATATATTATAGGAAAATTCAACACAAACATTTTTTGAGTATTCAATTAAATTTATATGTATTAATAATAAATTTTATATTGATGTTTTTATAAACCCATATAGTATGATACTCATTTCACTATTTAAGCTTTCTACAGAGTATACACAATATTCAGTCACTCTAGGGCTTTATACACAAGCACTTCACACTGCTTGACATTTTCGTTTCAGTTTTACGAGTCCAACAGCCTTTTTGATGCATACCTTATCAAAATTTGGGTAAGTTTAATGAAATGCAGTGAACATTCCGCTTATGCTAAATAGCTTTGGGATGGTAACTTAAAGCTATAGACTATACTGCACTTTGTATCTCATTATTTATGTACTCTATCTGTTGGTGACATTAACTTTGCAACATGTATATAATATGTTTATAATTTATCATATAAAAAAAGAAATATTGTATATGTTACGGTATAAATTCTTATCTGTAATTGTTCACGCTTTAAAATAATAGATAAAAAGGATATAATAAAAATTATTTCATAATATACTCATAATCATAAAAAACAAACTTGAAAAGATAATAAATTTTTAATCTTTAAATCTCTATGTTTAAATATAGATCTTTTTCCTATAATGTTTTTATAAACATATTGAGATTTTTTCAGCAAAATGAACATTTTATATATAATTCTATATATAATAATACTATTATTTTATATTATTTAATAGACGTACAATTGTACAAGAAGAATGAATACACAGTAAAAAATATAAATGCATTATGAGATGAGACATATTCGTTTAAATAACGAATAACATAATATAAGCCTTTTACATTAAAGCAATGGTATGAAAGAGATCGCAAATTGTATCACCGTTGTTACATACGCTTAAGTTGCTTTGCAACTTTGTTAATACTATTGAATGTTGCATATACTTAATGTATATATTTCTTATGACATTATAGGAAGAGACAAGCAAAGATGCAAAAGGAATTAGAAGATGCAGCACGAGACACGCGACCTGTTAGTCCGGATCGTTTAAGCTTAAAAGAAGTTGCTGGTCTTCCGACAGCAGTGCCAACAAAAGTATCCGTAACGTTTGTACGTTGAAAGATATATTATATTGTGCTACCATAAAAGCATTAACACCAATCCGTATCTGACATTTCTAATAACATTAAAACACAGGTGTGCATGCTTTATGTATGTATTATGAATAGATTAATTTTATATTGAATATATTCAATATATTATAAATTTAGAATATATTCAATATCAATTTTATATTAATAAATTATAAAATATTGTTTAATTATTTACATATATATCTTCATTTCTCTTTGATTAAACAAATAGATAAATATTTCTTTCTCAATTTATTTTTTGATACATGATATTTTCTAAATATTAGATTATTTTGTTTCTCTTTTACAGCCAGTTACACCTTAGAGAGTGATATAGGTTACATGCTGTGGTTGTGACGTTACATGAACGGCTGTGTATTGTACATACTTTGCAATATATATTCAACATATCAACACCGTTCTTTAGTTACTTTATTTAACATTATATTTAATTAAATAGAAAATAATTAATTTCTTTTCTCAGCAACAGAAGAATGAACAACACTTTCATATCAAATTTAAAAAAAATGAATTTACTAGAGACACTTCTGTCAACCGAAAAATAATCTATTAGTTTTCACTAAGGCGTAAAGATTAAAAAATAATTTATTTAGTTATCAGTGAGGCGCGCTGAATTAGATTGAGACTGGATTACGTCATTTTATTTGTATAGTTACATTAATCTATAATAATAAAGAATTAAGTATTTATATTGAAAACGTAATTTTTCTGTTTATATTATTATGAGTTGTATTTTTTACTTGATAAATATAATATAATATTACACTGTATTAAGGCCGTATTTAAATATACACTGCCAATACTGAAAATCTATAGTATATATTATATAAGCTATATAGATTTTTGGTTCGAACAGTGTATATCTGAACATGACCTAAGATTAATACTAGAGTAGCATTGTCTTAAATTTTAGGTATATTTATGAAATACAGTATTGTTCGCAGAATGTAGTGTGTATATGATTGAAAGTGCATAATATTATAATTTTTATCGAAATTAGATTGAGTACAAGTATTTTTAAAATATTACAAGATGCTTTTATTAAGACACTCGATAATCTCCAAATCCTGAGCCTTATTCTTTCCATCTTCCTCGTTTTAATTATTAGTTTTCATAGACATGGTTTAGCATCTTTTTTATTTTATATATATTTTTATTTAATGTTTTATTTATGTAATTATACATATATGGTTCTTTATATTCTTAAAAAATATACATATTGCGATTTTTACAATTTATTTTTTCTTATATATTTTGATATACAATATGCATGCTGAATGGTGTACAGAATAATTACTGCTCACTTAAACTGTTAAATTTGCAAAATAGAAGAAACATTAATTGCCTAAATTAATGGAGCACTGCATGCTTTATTACAAGATAATTTATGCTAATATCGTTGGAATAAAATTTTTGTTATTATCTTTGTTTTATATCTAAAATGCTTTATAATAATGTTTAAAGTATAATATATTTAAAGAAAAGTTATAATAAGCATTGAATTTCTTTTTATATTTGTAAAATATCTGCTTCCTGCTGAAAATTTTTTTCAATATATAAAGTGAAGTTCATGGTGTTTGCTATTCTTAATTTAACAATCGGATATTGTTATGTTTTAATTATTAGTTAATGAAATTGCTTATGTGTGAATATAAAAACAAATTATTTTTATTGATCACAAATTACATATAATTGATATATTATTGGATATTTTAAATTTATGTCTTGTGATATTGACATGCACTGTGCGATCAAATCTTTGTTGTGATATATTATGCAATAAATTAAATGCATGCAAGATGTCTAGCAATCTCATACATCAAGTTCTTATAAATCTTGCAGAGTGCTCATGAGGGGGAAGTATTCGCTGTTAAATGGTCGCCTACTGATAGAATATTGGCTACTGGTGGTACTGACAGGAAGGTGAAGCTTTGGAGTATCAATAAAGGTAAATAACAGAATAATTATGATATATTCTTTCAATAATACTATTAAATTTATTAATTTTGTTTTTGAGAAAGTTTAAAACCTAATTTAAGATTAAATTGGAAAAATAAGAATTGTTTCTCAGAAATCTCCTTTTTTGTGCTGCTACATGTCGCTTCCCTGCTTTAAAAAAAGTGACAACTGAAAAAATTATGTTTGTCAGAAAAGACGAAAACTCTTTCAATTTAACAAAAAAATATTTATTGATGTGATATGAAATAATATTGGTAAAAAGAATATATTCTTAACAAATCAAATGTCATTTTGTCATTTTTTATTACAATTTTTTAATACTAATTATTCTAAATTTTAAATATATTGAAACAATATTTGATCTGTGTTTATGAAACTTTAATAATTAAGCATGTATGTTTTGAAAATTTTATGTAATTAAATTTATCTATTTAATAAAGAATTTTGTTATATAAAATAAATAATGAAAAGGCTCTATATGTATAAAATAATATAAATATAAAAAGGGCAAAGAGCCAAGTAAGTCTATCGAACAATATAATTCAATTATTTAAAATTTAATAAAACGCTTTAATAAGATCTTTAAAAATTACAATTTGACAGACCTTTCGACTTTGTTATATAATTTGTTATATAATTCCTTCAAATGAAGTACCGTTTGCATTTGTTGAGAATTCAAGTAATTACATAATTTTGATCTTATTGTTAGTATGTTCCATTTTGAATTTTAGTCTCTAATTTCTCCGATATCGTATAGATTTTGAAGCCTTGTATCCACAATGCTAGATCGTAAATGGAAAATTGTTCAAATGTAATTCGTCAATTTTTTTTTCTTTCTCTATACGAGATCTGAAATCGATTTCTAGCATCGTCGACACAAGCCTTTAAGAAAACTGAAAATTGCCGCGAATATCGCCGCGATGAGAAGAGTGTAAGTAATTCAAGATTTATAAAGTGTGTACAGAGAAAGGAATGCGATTAGTCGGAGCATTTATGCAAGTAAACGACATCCTGAACACGTAACAATCGCGAGTAACGCGTTTGAGTGAAATGATGTTTTCCGCGAAGAATTAATTTTGTTTTATTATTCGTTTTATTATTCAAATTCCCGCCGGTGGTGACGCGTCGACGCGGTAGCATTTAGTTAAATATGGCGGATACTGTCTTTCGCGCTCGTTCGAATAGTACCTTCGCGAGATATTTTCCAGTTTTCTTTATTTCCGTGTCCGAGCGATTATAAATTTCTAATGTATTCTATTCCATACAATAATTATATATAATAAGAATGGATAGTTTTACCGAATTGAACAGACCTTTTACAGAGGACGAAAATGTTCGCGAATTTGTGGGAACGCGACTCACTGCATCAGATATAGGTCCCTATTCTCATAATTCCGTAAGTCTTAACAACAGTAATGATTATTCTCATAATTCCGTAAGTCTTAACAACAGTAATGATTTCGTCGAATTGTTGTTGCGCAGCTTTTTTACCATGAAATCTGCGCAACGACAATGTAATGGTATTGTTACCGTTATAAAATTTAATAGTTCTTTGAAGAACGTCCTTTATAGATATAGGACATTCTTAGAATATCCGTTGAAGAACTGTCTCGTGTAGGTATGATTTAATTACAGTTTATATGTGAAAAATTGATACTGTTTTAGCAAATAGAATAATGTCAGAAAATTAGAATCTTGCATTGAGAAGAGAATTGTTTATTTGATTAAATTAATTAATGTAGTTGTCTTTATTTCTTTAGTTAATTATATGTATTTAAGTCAAATATAATCTAGTATGTATAGCTTAAATACATACATATTTTTTTTAAAAAACTTAAATATATTCTTTAAAAAAATAAAAACGAGTTAAATTAACTTAGTCCAATGAACAATTTTTTCTTCAGTATACGTTAGAAAGAGAAAAAAAGCGAAAAGTAGGAACAATAGGTTTGTTTGCGTCATATGCTCTAACATGAATCCTACCATAGTTCCTACTTACTCCAACGAGCAGAAACATGTTGGAGCATGCGACACGAATGAACCTAATGGAATAGAGAAGATGTTTTCCATTCGATAACGCAAATATCATTTTACTTTTGTTATTCACTAAATGCCAAGAAAGTTAGAATAATATGTTTGTGTCGATTTATTAAATGGAAAGCATTCAAAAGCATGAAGGATAGAGAGAGGTTTTTAATATCTAGATATTTCTATTATGAGATCAGCAAATAACTTAAATATCACACTTCATTGGAAATTAAGGATTGCGAATTGAAGATAAAGCCCAGTCTACAATTGCATAAGCATAGTTGTAAAGCCGTGATCAGAGATTGAAATTGAAATTGAATTGGAATTTCACCAATCAAAGCAAAGTTCACTAAACTTGAGATTAGTTTTCTTTGTTCCGATTGGTTAAATTTCAATTCAGTTTTAATCTTAATCTCTCGTCTGAACTCTGATCATGGCTTAAGTGGTTGTAGTTGTAAGATTTGATCAATCACAGTTCAATATTCTCCTCATGTTTGACTGTGATTAATCAATTCGTACAACTACGACCACTTACAACTACACTTACGCAATTGTAAAATGAGCTTCAGAATTCAGCTAATCGCTAATCAGAACAAAAAGGATGAAAATCGAAATTACTTGATTGGTCGAATTCTAATCTGTAAGTCGCAATCCAATGCGTATAGTGTGATACGAACTTTAAGGACTGTACACGATGAAAAGAATAGGAAACAGAATAAAGAACATGGGATCTTAAATGAAGTAAAAATTACAAAAGCGAATTTACTAGGATATTTATAATTTTATTATTATCTATTGAATTTATTTACGTAATTTTTACTTCATTTAAAATACATAATTGATTCTCGTTCTCTATTCTCCTTATTCCTTTGATTGTGCTCCCTTAGACTTGCTTTTCAAGGCAAACTCGTTTGTCAGCATTATGCAGGCACTCGTCACAGTTTTGTCGCCTATTAACATCCGGTACATGTAATACATCCACTAAGGTTCCGTTTGAATTAAAGTTTTTGCTTATAAACGTAACGACGAAACTATCCTTTCAAAAGACTAATATGTAATTTTTAATTCTCATGATCTTTTCTCTGGTAGTCTTATGTGACGTATATATTTGACATATCCGATAGACAAAGGTATCAATATACATTACATATTGTTTCTTTACTCTAAAAGAGATACATCTAAAAACAAATATAATTTTTTTAATTATTATGAATGACTCAATAAATGAATAAACACATTAATCTATCATTAATGAATGAATTTTATAAAAAAATTGTCAAAATTATTACAATTTGAAAAGAGTGATTTAAAAAATCGCCACGAAAAAAAATGGTTTTTAAGAGTTATAAACAATAAAAATAAAGTTTGAGATTACTTTCAGAATATATTCTTTCTGCAAACATTATTCGGTTAGTCAATAAATTTTTATTAAGTTGAAAAATAATTTTTCCTCTTTTTTTCAGAAACATAATTTTTTTGAGTTGTATTTCTTTTGAAGTATAAAAGACGACATTATTTATATTTATGCTATTTATTTATTGATCAAAGGTGAAAGACTTTTTACTCTTCCAACGTTCCATTTGGAACCTGATTTCCGTCGGCATCTCGCCGCGTCTTCGTTCCACGCGGACGGCCGCGATATCACTTTTTCTCGAGAAATTCCCCGCGATCCACTTAATGAAGTATATTAACGAATCAACAGGTTACTTTGCGCGTCGTTATAGTTCACCCTTGCAACGCATACTAAAAGCTGCCCCGTCGCTTCGAAATCGTTTCACCGTATTGTAACATAGCTGTGATCGTATATGCTATAACGCTCTCGAATGTAATCCTCTCTCTCCGTCTCCTCTTACAAATTAGATGAAACATTCGTCCTTATTGTACGGGTTATATCCGCTTAGCTCGAGGTCTGTTATTCTAGATCTACACGCATTCTCCATTTCTCGGTTTTGTTCTGCGCGCTTCTTCATTGCTTTCCTCTGCCTCTATCTTTACATGTTCTCTCTCACGCACACACACACACACACACACACACACACACACACACACACACACACACACACACACACACACTCTCTCTCTCTCTCTCTCTCTCTCTCTTTCTCTGCTTGCTTTGAGGTGCTTATAACTTGCTCCCTTTGGATTGCAGCGCGGTTTGCTCGCTGCCAATTAAGCCGTCAGGGCATAAATTTAATTAGTCATATTCAGAGAATAACGCGCGGTATAGACGAAACGGAGAAAGAGATGAGGCAGGGTATAGAATGAAACGGTTGTGCAATGGGAGCCAAAGTAATTGATGTGGGCACATAAATGCGAAGAATTAAACTCAAACATCGTTATGTAGCAGTATGATGATGTGTCCGTGAATATTCTGTTGCAGGTACATCGGAAAATAAGGGCATTCTCGTTGGCAGTAACGCCGGTGTAATGTCGGTGGACTTCGATTCGACAGGCACTCTTATTCTTGGAGCGTCCAATGATTATGCGAGTCGCGTCTGGACCGTCAATGATCTTCGCTTAAAGGTAAGTTTTTGCATCCATTGTTTTACATATGTGTGCTTCTAACGTACCTCCGAAAATTTAAAAGGCCAAAAACTTAAAAGCTAAAGAATATCTAATTTGTAAGAGATATCCTTATGACATATTTTAGAATGACATATGCTCTTCTTTATGATTTTTGCATAAAAGTATCACGTTCGAATAACGTCATGATACGAAGTTAGGTAGAATGATGTTCAGTTTTAAACTATAGAACTTTGTTTTGTTTCGTAATTCTTCAGTTCTGTTATGTAATTGCCGCATACATAAAGGTTTGCGTGATGAACGAAGGGAAAGACGAAAAGAAGGGAAAAGTCCAATATTATAAAAATTGATTGCGGGTTAATGATGAAATTGCCTTCTGCATTTCTATCAGAATATTTGCAGAAAACTTTTAGTTAGAAATTTATAAAAAAATTTATATGACGCAAAGGAATTCAAATATAAAATACAATGATCGCGCTTGTCATATTTAGCGGTTAAAAGAGACGTATTTTTAATATTTGCTAAATGTGTCAAAGAGAGACAAGTGACATCGTAAATGTAAGAATCGTTTATTAGGAAAAAACAATAAAATTTTTAAGTATTATTTTTTTATTTCGTTTGATGTACAAAGTAAATGCATCACTCGTTTCGATTTTTTATCTAGGTTAATATCTAGGTTAATATCGATGACTGTTTTAAAGGCTTCAAATTCCCGAGTTTCGATTATTACTCAAATGTATTGCTGCTGGTTCGTAATTATATCACGGTTCTATGAATACTCATGAAAAGCCGAATGCATTAGCGGCTCCATCCCTCTCACAAAGAGATAGGACGCTCCGCGTTCGATACTCGAACGAAATATTGAAAATTTATCTGACAACGCTGAGTTTGCAAATTTTTTTTAAATCCGCAGATTACGAATATAGCGTAGTTTGAAATTACGCGAAAGGTCATAAATAAAACGACGTTGACATGTTCTATTTTTTCTTTTTTTATAAATATATTTTTTATTTTCAAGTGCTCTTATCAGATTATCGACAAGTTAGGTAGAAAATATGATAAATGTAAAAAAATAATTATGGTATATTTATATTTTATTGCAAATTACATTTATAAAATAACAATGTCCACAAAAAAAGTTTTAATTGATTCTTTTTTTAATTTTTTTCATACAAAATAATTTTCATATGTCCTTTAAATTAATCAATTTAATAGAAATAATCCTATTTTTGGTTAAAGTGAATTTTAGTATTAGTAATATTAAATGTAAATTTTTGCAAATATTTTATTTTAGTTTTAAAAACTGCGCGTTGATACGACTTGTTGGTTTTGAAACGCAATCGCAAACTGAAGCTGAAATTAATATCTCTAAAAATAGAGTGATCGTTCATTTTATTATTATAGTGATGCTAATAAGTATTTTAAAAACGAGTAAATAATTAATTGCGAAAGCTGTTATCTTTGACAGGATAATATTTTTCACAATAAATTATTTACAGATTTTTAAGATTCTTATTAGCATCAATATTAAAATGAACGATCAATCTAATTTGAGATATTAAGCACTAAAATTTGCTCTGACAGGAAATAGGATTATTTCTAATAATTGATTTATTCTCGTTGGTCTAATTTTGAAACTCATAATTATTTCTCCGAATTAATTTCACAGAAAATAATTCTGAAAAATTAAAAACAGCATTGGAACCCTACAGCATACTTTTTATATTTATTTGCAATAATTTGCTCTTTTAATCAACCGGGTGTTAAACCATAAGCGTACCTATGACTGTACTCAATCAAGCTTTCATACTGTATTGCGCGAAGTACAAAAAGAAGTTACATTAAGATGGAACAAATGGCCTAACAACTGCAGTAATGAGACGCGCTCGTCTCTCGTCTCTCGTGAAAACCTGATTGGCTGTACGGACGTGTCCCAGGAAGTGCATAAAGGGATGTCTCGCAAAACATGCATTAAATTACAGGTCTGTTCCGTTGGCGAGACAGCCCGTGAATCTACCGGCTGTAGAATATGAAATTTATCGTCACCTTCTTCCCTCGCGATCTATTACCGTGTGGCTCATGTAAATCTGCGACGTTGGCGCGATCGTAAAGCTAATGGCAATGCACAAAAAGTCAGTCAAGACCGAATTGCTTCATGAACTTTACCGCGGATCGTTACTCCTGTTCATGCATAATATCTATGTATATTTTGAAAGGCGATCCGTCTTTTTAACCCCACTGTCTAAAGTTTATTTGCTCTTTTACTCTTCTTTCGCCGTTGCCACATTCACTTTCCGTAACTTTTTTCCGCAATCCTACATTTTCCGTTTTGGAAATATGTTATTGAAAATCTATATGCGAGAAACTTAGTTCAGAAATGTTTAATATTCGTGAATATTAAATCCTATACATATTAACAAGGTTTTCAATAATTTGGTAATTTTTAGGTGATATTTGTGGCATCTTCGTATACAGACTATTTAAAATAACACTTATTTTTTACTTCGCGATGAATTTTCACGATTCTAACGTTGCGAGTCGAATCACTCTACGGATTAACTAGATTAAGATAAGCTTAAAGATTAGACAGATGATCATACAATATACATTTGTGTAATTGTTTATTAGTTTTTCTCTAAACTTTACAATTATATGTAATCAATAAATTGTTCATATATTTTTTAAATAACAATCCGTCAATTGGGATTGTAGCAGATATAAATGATCAGTTTGAAATTTCGATCGCGAAAAACAATACGTTGTAGAAGCTTCAGTTAGATGATGCGTGTCAAATGTGTACGGTCAAAGTTTAGCATATGACAGTAAATGCTTGATCACTACTAATGTACGCTATTTCCTTTGATCTACGCCCGGCTTCGGGCTCTTGTATGTAAGAACTTAAGTACATGGTTTGTCGATAGTCGGCGGCATACTCGCGCGCGGTCGTGTATGGAGGAGTAATCAGGGATGATCGATCGCGATGAAACTTTGAGTCCCACGCCGTACGTATGTCCCGACCTGCGCACCTCGTTACTTTGATAGGATTGTCAGAGTGTCGCACTGATGTAACATGATTAAACGCTGGGAGCAACCGGCGATGATTGTCGGCGAAGTCGACGGGAATCGACGTACGAGAGAGAAGCTTCTGCTGCTTCTCTCGGCAACCAGTCCTCGCAACTCTAGATGAGACTCAACGGTACTTTGATTTGTGCCGTACACATATATGACCAAATCAGTTGGCTCAGTCTTATCGCAAGTATTTCTCTTACAAAACGATTCATAGAAGTCATCGACGTCTAATCGATTCGTCACGGTACGTTTCCAGAGACACATAAGTAACTGAGATCGTTGAGCGAACGTTAATAATATATCCGTACCGAGAATCTCGATGAGTCTCCCGTCGTTTCCTCGCGAGCTATCGTCGCGGTTTCAGCATATCCAAGATAAGTTCTCTCCTCGGTGCAATTACACCGCGTATTCACGTTAGATCACGTGACAAGATTCGGCGAAGACGCTTGCTGGTTCGCGAGGAAGCATGGAGTGAGATTGAACCGATAGTCTACACTGTACCAGCCACACAATTCCATTACATCCTCCCGATGCCGTCGTTTCCCGACGTCGTTGTACAAGTTGCCGCGCGCGCGTTCAGCCTTGCAGTAATCGCCGTTTACAACGCTGCGGTTTATCGGAGGAATACAATGTGTAATATATTCGCGCGCGAGCATACGTGAACCGCTCGCGTATCGCTTGCGTATCGTCGGGTGTGTTAGACGTGATTATTCGACGCGTCGAGAAATCGTAGCTGCCGTCTCGCGCGAGCCGTTCGTTGTTCCGTCCAATCGACCGGATCCTTCGCTCACCTCACGTTTTCCCCCCCTGTCGTTCTTGCTCGCTTTTTCGCGCACCATTCGTGAAACAGGCCTCGCCGGGAGTTCATACTGAACGGCGGCAGTTTCATTCCGAAGATTGGTGGCCAATGGCGCGTAAACTCACGCGGGAAACAACACGCGGTCTCTGAGGGATTCGAGCTGTATGTAACCAGTCTGTAGGTTATTCAGGCTGAGAGGTGCGAGAGCCAACCATCTGATGTTTATTCTCAAGTGCTCCGTTTCGAGAGCACGTAACAACATCTGTCGATCTTAACGAAATGCGGTTTTTCCTGCGAGTCCCTGCCGTTGCGGTATCCGCGGACTCGTGTCTGCCGATCGTTCAATATATCTTTTTATGGATATATTAATCCTGCGTTTTACGCGACATAAAACCTGCGCAGGAGATTGTTATTGTAGATAAATTCTATCTCGACAGAATATGATGTGAGTTTTTGTTATTCATTCGTTATAATATTCATTATCTTTTTAAAATGTTAACGAATAAAATATATCTAGTTATTTTCCTACTGAGACAGCAAATTGTCCGTATATCATAATTGTAAGAGTGCAATGTGCCAAATCGTTTTGGCACAGATAATTACTATTTATTTCAAAAACAGAAAGAAACACATTTTTTGTTACACTGTTAAAAGTGAAATGTTAACTTAAAGACACATAGTGGACTTTTTAGACAAAAAAATGTTAAAAATGTACAAAAAATATTAATTTTGATATTTTTGTATGTCTTAGAAAGTCCACTATACGACATCTTTAAATTAAAATTAATATTTTATTTTTAACAGAGTAAAATTTTGTATAGCAATATGTTTATATTGTCTGCGTTATTATATTATTCCGATCAGGCTGTGATTTATTTCGAGTTGTCACAAAACAATTAATATTATGATAAATACTACTAGCATCTATTTTATACTAGAGAAGGAGGGAGAGAGATAAAGTGGAAAGTGTTGATTTATTTTACAAGAATTTCAATAAGCGTTCGTCTTATTAATAAACGAATTAACATTTTTATCATTTATGTAATTTTTTTAGTTGACACATTAATTTGGGATACATGTATACAACATATATATAATGTTGTATATATCTAATATATTAATATATACCTATATATCGTTGCTATCTAGATTATTATCATGTAAAGACCCTTGTACCGCGGTATAACGATTAGGTTTGTAATCTATTTACGTGGTTAAAGTAAAGTGGTGAAAATTTCGAGCCTTATAATTCTAGAGTGGTAAGAGGTATTAATGCCAGATTA